GCAGAGAAATTGTGAATTATCGAATTGGATTTCGGGTGGAAAAATGTCGTTGTGTCGTGCATGAAAAATGGCCTGCGGATTTTTATCTTCTCCTTCGCCCGATACTGGGTAGCTGCATGTGTACGTAAGTATGGAGCTTCGTATGTACGTACCAACGACGGTCGAGATCTTCGAGTGGAAGAGAGAAACATGAGGATGAGAAGGGTGGAGAAGAGATGGTGGATGTCGTGTTATGTGGTTGGGATATCGGTGACCACATTTGTCAGAGCAGCAGGGGCCCCAGCTACCGACTGTCTCTGGAAAGACACGTGTACATGTCTCGTCGACCTGCAGGTCAACCATCCAAACAGGAAAAAAGAGCACCGAGACGAGAAGATTTTCATACCAATTCGAAAGCGAAAAGAAACCGATTCTCATTTGAATAACGCTTCAGAGAAAACGACTCTTCCGGTGCGCAAAACAAAAACGCGATGATAGATACAAACTAGTTAACTATTTCTTCTTTTCATTCCTCTAGATCAGAGGTTCCCAAACTTCTTTGTGTCGTAGACCCCTTGTCATGTTTTTCGGTTTTGGGTAGACCCCCTACTTACCTTATATTGCTTTTTTGTAAATTTCTAATTGTAGTGAAGTTTAGTATTAAAAACTTAAAGTAAAAACATATGTTAAGTTTTATACATTTATTAATTGAATTTACATTAAAACTACTCAAAATAAAATTTTGTATCTGTTATATAAAATATACGTAACATAAAATAAACATAAAATAAACTAATAAAATAATAAATTATCAACATTTGTTGTCAATTTTGTAAGGTTTAATCTAAAATCTCCTCAGCCAATGATGTCCAGTCTGTTTCTTTTTTCGTTAGGAGATTGGTAACAGCGCTGAACCCCCTTTCCACTAGGTATGACGATGAAAAGGAAATTAAAAATTTCCTCGCTATATTCCATAATTCGCTATATTCAAGGTTTTTACAAGTTCAAAACGTATTGCGACTACACAGCGAATGCCTACATCCTACAACTTACACAATTTTTTAAACATATATAAAATTACGTCATAAGTACTTTTATAAATAATGTATATGTCTTTATATTATAAGATAGTATAATGTAAGTAAATAGGTACCATCAGTGTATGTTGCGATCCACAATCGTGGACCCCCATTTTCATTTCATGGACCCCCAAATTTTTTTTTCGTTGACGTAGACCCCTTGCAGGTTGTCATAGACCCCTGGGGGTCGATATAGACCACTTTGGGAATCACTGCTCTAGATGATATTACATTACTCGACCTTCACAAAATGATCATCCTTCTCAAATTCGATATCTAAATACTAAATTAATTCAGAAGACACAATAAGTAGACTTGAAGCTTCTTCTTTCATTTTAATTAATAATAACATAATTTGTATTGAAACATATATAATTGTTTAAAAAAATAACTTATACTTCAGGACTACTTTGATATCAATAGAAGACAAGCCTGAAGTATTTGTTATTATGTAATAATAGTAAAAAATAGAACATTAAATTTACTTTAAGGATTATTTCTTTCTTTGAGAAAATGTACTTGAGTTGTGTTTGGGATTTGTAGTTGCTTATCTTCTCTGTTTGTGTGTGTGTTTTCAGGTGTTTGGATTGCAATGAGATGGTTTTAATTGGTTGAGATTAGACGGGGGTCCCATCAGCATAATCTAAGTGGCACGAAACATACAATGAATGTGCCCCGAGTGGAGAATGTGTATGGAAATGTGAAACCGGAGCTTATCTCCGGTAGCATCGGGCGAGGGCACCCACGCGCACACCTGCGACAATCCTCATCCTCAAGAACAGAGAGAAAGAGAGAGAGATTGGAACCAACCCTTCAAATGGACGAGAGATGGCAATATTGGAGGAGAACGAAAATGAAGTTCCTAAACGATTTACAAGTTGTCTCTATCCGACGCGAGCATCGGAATTAATTCATAGACGAGGAAAGGAACGACAAGAAGAACAACGTAAAAAAAAGGAAGAGGAAAGAAAAGAAACGAGCCCACCATTCCCATTCAATCCCGGAGCCATTCAACTCGACCATGAATGGGTTTTGTGTGTTTATGTGTTCGTTTTATGCATTCGTCGAGTAAACCCTTTCCTCTTATTCGCCGAGTGGACGGAGGAGAGCACACACACTGGACTGCAAGAGATCTCTCGAGAGTGTCATCCGTTTATGCAATCAATATTTGATCATTTCCTAGTTTCCGAAAAAAAAAAATAAACAAATCCGATCCGAGTCCATCTTTTGCTGTAGGGGTAATTTGAAGGATGTTGTTCTTCAATAAGGGAAGGGAGGAAGAGGTAAGATTCCCAACGGTTCGCGCATAATAACAGCTCTGGTGAGTTATGCGCGGACGGCAGGCAATAAACCAAATTGAAATATAAAATTAATATAACGAAGTAATTAAAATGCCTAACAAGGGGGGCGGAACGGCCGATCGCGAACCTACCAATTTGCTGCCCACGCAAACGGCGAGACCCGCAACCAAACCTATATAAACAACGGCCGTGGCTCACCTTTGAACCTCCGGACAACTCCTCCGTAGCACGGGAATCGTATTTTGCTGCACCAGGCCACAAAGAGAGAAAGAACGTACCGACGATGACAACCGTCAATATATATCCAGACGCGCGGCGCGCCTCGACCCGGTGGTCCCCCATAAGTCGAACACCCCGCTTAATTGCCCATCAAAAATTGATGAAATTCATTAATTATCACCGTATTAATTAATGGACGAACATTCTTAATGCAAAACAACGAAGAATTTCAATCGCGCACAACCCTAATATCAAAAGTTCATACACTTTTTTTTCTTCCATTTCCAAACACAATATGCTTAGACCATTCTTGAAAACTTCTCTAGCTAGATTAGTATTTCTTATAGTAATATTTACATCTTTCCACATTCCATGAAACTTTAATGAAACATAAGAATATTTTGAAAGTTTCGCATTTTAAAATGCTTCTTAATTTGCAATGTTATGGCATATTTATGTAACACACGTGTCGTCTCTGTAAAAATATCGTCAAACTATCGAGGCCGCCTAAAAAAGACTAGTGGTGTCTCACTATGAAGTAAGATTCGATGAATGTGAGTGACTTGTATAGATGGGGCGCATTTATCCGCCACTCGTCCAAAAAGGTTTAAATTGATTCTGAAACTAAAAATCAATAATTTGATACTTCTCATACATCGTATAATCGTATGGTTTCAGTAAACTACCTTTAAGACTTTACAATAAAAATTATTAAAAAGGTCTCAGGGTTAACTCCTATAATTTTACGATTTTTTTGTGCTTATATCACTTTCTATTAATTGATTTGAAGAAACATGTACTTTGGTAATTAATTAATAACGATTTCAACGTTTTTCATAATCCGTGCATATTTATTTGTCGAGTTAAAAGTGTAGGAGGATCTGGAGGAGTTACCGCAATATTTATTCCGCAAATCCGTTACATTGCCTATTTCAAAGGGGGTATTTAATATGACTGCGACTCCGTCCCACTGCCTCATCGTAAATCTAAAATCATCTCTTCTCTTCCTTTTCTAATCAACCGAACTCGCAAGATTTTAACGCGCGTTTCATGATTTTCTATTTTCAATGAGTAACGATCATAATTTGCATAAACATAATTTCAATTCTTTTATGTATAATTAGTTGCTTTTTAATAGCATAAAACTTAGGATTTGCTTATCTGAACATCATTAATTGTATGTTGAATTTATCTAAATTTCTTACAGATGATGATAATCTGTTAATGTTTTTATTTATTATCTGTTAGAGATCTAAAATAATACAAACAATATTAATTTTTAATTGTAAAAAATAATCTACTTTATCAACATAAAATATCTGGTAAATCATCTGTAGATGGCACGGTTACGCAACCCTTTGCAACCTATGCGACATCCATTATTGACTGTCCAAACTAATAAATTCAACAGTAGTTAGTTTATAGTGAGTCATGTAAAATTTACGAATATTTTATATCTCAAATAATAATGTTAAAAATGTTAAAAAATAAATAAATTTATAATTATTTAATTTATGATACAATGATATGACATAATAATATTATATATCCGATATGGTCTAGTGGCTAGGATACCTGGCTTTCACCCAGGAGGCTCGGGTTCGATTCCCGGTATCGGAAAATTTTAATATAGTGACAGTAGAAATGGAAAATTTTATGGAATGACCCCGGAAGTACCATATGTATCCGATATGTCAGTGGTTAGGCGGCTCGGATTCGATTCCGAGTATCGAAAATGTTAATACAGTGACAGTCGAAATGGAAAATTTGATGGAATGACCCGGAAGTACCATATATGTATCCGATATGGTCTAGTGGCTAGGATACCTGGCTTTCACCCAGGAGGCTCGGGTTCGATTCCCGGTATCGGAAAATTTTAATACAGTGACTGTGGAAATGGTAAATTTGATGGAATGACCCGGAAGTACCATATATATATCCGATATGGTCTAGTGGCTAGGATACCTGGCTTTCACCCAGGAGGCTCGGGTTCGATTCCCGGTATCGGAATTTTTAATATAGTGAAGATGGAAAATTTGGAGTAATGACCCGGAAGTACCATAAAATATACATAGAATATTGCAGCGTTTAACGAAAAGTTTAATTATAGATTCAAGCATGACCTTAGAAAAAACCTTGAAACTACTGTTCCAAGATAGCAGAAGGTTAGAGTTCAATTCCTGTAACAAAATAATTTTATATTTGAACTACTAAAAATATATTATACGAGATCCAGATATCTGAAGTAGTTCAAATAACAATCCGATATGGTCTAGTGGCTAGGATACCTGGCTTTCACCCAGGAGGCTCGGGTTCGATTCCCGGTATCGGAATTCTTTTATATTACAATTACATAAAGAAGTAAATTCTTATTGGAAACCAATTTGATTAGTTATTAAAGTAAAAAAAAATAATTATAAAAGTAATTTTATTAACAATAACAGTTCCATGTGTTTTTTGATGCTTTTTTTTTCTCTTTTACATACAAATGTATCATATACATTAGGAATATTAGATCTTACGATGTAGTAAATTTCGTGAATTCGTAAATAAACAAAACTCCCAAAGTATTTGGCAGACAGGATGAAGTAAAACAATTCCATGCCATCATATGTTCCGATAATAATATACAATATCATATGATCCACACAAAGCCAATGTAAAACAAATCGACTTCTTCTCCTTGTGGCTCCTGCCATATTTGAGTAATTTGTAAAAATTAAGAGCTACTAATCTTTGAAATCATAAATGCACTGCACTATTTAATTGTTCAGAGTTCGCTTAGGCCATCGGCGTTGTCGGCACGTTGAGAAGCAAATTTTGGCCAGTTGGAAGATAAGCCACCTGCCTGGATCTGGATAGTTGGTAGGCGATGTCTTCGGCCGCTTCGATACGCCTCAACTCTACCAAACCTTCACCAGCATCTCCGAAAGCCTTGGCCAACATGATAGCGGCTTGAGCGTCACCCTCAGCAGACACAATGGTGGCTTTCTTCGTTTGCTCGGCCTTCTCTACCAAGAACCTGGCCTTCTCGGCGTCCTGTTGAGCGACTTGCTTCAATTCTACAGCCTGGGTGAATTCCCTACCGAAAGTCAAATGGGTGATCGAGATGTCATCAAGAATAACGCCGAATTGGGCCGCCCTCTCAGTCAAATCGTTGCTGACTCTCTGAGAAACCAAGTCACGCTGCGTGATTAATTCACCGGCGTCAAATTGAGCAACAACAGCCTTCAAGACTTCAGTGGTGATGGAAGGCAACACCCTTTCCTCATAATCTTGACCCAAAATTGTGTAGATCTTTGGCAACTCATCAGGCATAGGTCTGAACAGGATACGAAGTGTAATATTAACGTTTTGCAAATCTAAAACAAATACAATATTATTCCATAAATCCAATTAGAATATTTTGAACTAGAAACTAACCTTTACTGCCAGTGATCACTGGGACATTCCTGGGGCGAGATCTGACATCAAAGATGATTGGCCTCTGGACCCATGGAACAAAGAAATGTGTGCCTTCTCCTGAGACCTGACCTTTGACTCCAGTGAATCTGTCGAAGATCACAGCCCTGTGGCCACCATCAACTGAAAAATTATATCTTTGCTTAGAAAAGACCAAACCCTAATTACTCAAACTTACCATTGTAGAGGGCAGAATTGACAACACCTCCAGCCAAAGCAATACCCAAGCCCAATTGGCCGATTCTATTGAAAATTTGTGCAGCCGACATTCTCTAACTGCAATAATCAGAAAAACTGTTACCTCATTGCGCAATTGAAGGTTATACTTCAACTAGTTACATTATTGTGTACAAATTATGATAAAAGAGAAATTCCTATAGGATTTATATGAATCAGATACTTACAAATACGTTATATAAAATTGGAACCTTTAATTAAAACAAAACCACTATCTAAACCGGCTTCACACACGAGTCCAGAAAAGTCGAACAAAATGGCGATATCGCTTCTCTTCTCAGTTTTGCCAACACAGACAACGAAAATATAAGCATACTTGGTAGTATACATATTGATGATAAAATTGAGAACCAATTCGAAAATTGCTAGAATCTTATAAGATCTAATAAGAATAAAATATTTATAGACAAATTCAAAAACCGTTTATTATTACCTTTGGCTAAAGTATTCTTATAAAAAACACACATTTCTGATATTAGTTTTAATACAATTATTATAATGCTTATTGCTTCTTCTTCTTGCTCTTCTGCTTTTTGGTTTTAGTAATATCCACATTCCAGTAGTACATTAGTTGCATCAAGATCACAGCATTTGCAGATGATGACGCCAGATATGTAATGATGACCATGCTATCACCAGTTTCTTGGATAGAAGTGAATATCCTAGCAACTGAACCAGCAAACAACATAATAACAGTGACAGCTGACAATTGTCCAGTATGACCATTCTTGTAGTTTGTGTATGCTTGAGCTAATTTTCCAGTTAACAAGATTGGAATGTTGAATCCTTGCATCGTCCACAAAGTGTTGATTGGAGTTAAACCACTCATAAGAATGTAAGAAACAACACAATAAACAGTCATGAAAAGAATTGACTTGCTCTTCTGATTAGAGAACCAAAACACCAAGAAACCAATGATGGCTGTTTGCACTCCAAGGAAGGCACTATCACCCCAAGCGCTGAATGGGAATCCCTTCAGGAAGCTGTAGGAAGAGTAAATGGTAATTGCACTTAAATCCAGCATTACACTGATCAGGCTGATGCCTTCTCCACTCTTATTCTTCATAATCTTCATGATCTGGGGGAGTTTCACCAGAATTGATCCAAGGATTATGCCTAAACCCAGGCATTTGCTTAGCGTCGATTTGAAGCATGGCACTGAAATCAATATAATTTAATTGGCAACTATCTTTTTTTTTTTCAGGAATTATGAATGATACTAACCATCAAAGAAATTGAAATTCACAAAGTACTCATCCACGCACTGAGGCGACAGGATTAAACTGGAGGCCTGCTTAATCAAATCCATATTTAATTTAAAAAATAAATTCGTTAAAAACCGCCTGCACAACTCATTTAGAAAACTCAACTGACAATTGGTAAAGTGACCTTTGACAGCTCTGACAATGACACGTCTACCATATGGTCATGTTGTGTGTATCATTACATAATTTTTGTTAGTTACCTGTTATTAATTTAATAATTAAGTAAAATCTAATATTATAAAGTTTATTATTTTTTAATTAATCAATTTTGTTAATTTAATAGCGTGTTATATGGATTTTAATAGAAAATAGTTTTTGTAGGCAACCAAAGTTTCATGTTAATTTGTATGTTTGTGGGGAGGAATTTGAATAATGCCTATAATAAATAAATTGCTATTCGATCCGAACAGCTTTGAATACTTCCAATTGCGATTCATCAATATGTTGGGTAATACGTGTGGGTTTTCGTTTTTGGTGATCGTCGTGGCAGCAGTAAGCACTGATCGTATTTGAATTGCAGCGATCCTGGAGCTGTCAGTTACGTTTTTTTAGTACACTCTACGAATACGTAGGTAAGGTTGAATATAGTCTGCGGATGTAGGTTTACAACAGATCTATCTACCTTCTGTGTGTGTCGGTTTTGAGGTGAGTCTGAAATGGTAAAAGGCTGCGAGAGCCAAACATGTCAAGGAAACGGTTCAGACCAATTTTAAGACTGTAAGGAAAACAGACTGCATTTTTTTGAACACACAACAAACCACTGTTGCTACATATTTTTTTCTTCCTCCTCCTTTTTTTTTTATTCTTTCCTTCTTCAGTTTAGTGATTAGTGTAAGAAGTTTCGTGGATGTGGATTGTGGTAACATACAATGAGAGTTTTATCAAACTAAAGTGATTGCTGAACAGAGTGATTTCCTACAAGTAACAATTTTATTTATATTTGAGTGAGTGAGTCTTATCGGATTAGGAAAAAATGGCACAGGCAAACAAGAGATCTTGGAAACTACGTAAGTTACTCTAAGAATGAATTAAACGTTTTATATATTGGCTTTGTTTTTTTTTTTGTTACGTTTTGTTTTGCAGAAGATTTAGTTGCTCACAATGCTAACGTTAATTGCCTTGCATTGGGGCACAAATCTGGAAGAGTTATGGTTACTGGTGGAGATGACAAGAAGGTTAATTTATGGGCTATTGGGAAGCAGAGTTGTTTCATGAGTCTAAGTGGACACAGTACACCAATTGATTGTGTACAGTTCAATCACAATGAGGAGCTTGTTTGTGCTGGATCACGAACTGGTGCTTTGAAAGTATGGGATCTGGAGGCTGCAAAATTAGTGAGGACCATGACTGGCCATACAGATGCAATCAGAACTGTGAATTTTCATCCGTATGGTGACTTCTTAGCTTCTGGAAGTACGGATTGTGCAATCCGGATTTGGGACAGCAGGAAGAAGGGGTGCATTGCCACCTACAATGGCCACAAGGATAAAGTTAATAGTATTAAGTTTAGTCCGCACGGCCAGTGGATTGCTTCTGGTGGAGATGATTGTGCAGTCAAGATCTGGGACACTCGGATGGGGAAAGTGTTGAAGATGTTTATGTACCATACGAATTCTGTGAATTGTGTTGAGTTTCATCCACGCGAATTCCTATTGGCCACAGGGAGCAGTGATGGATCTGTGCATCTTTATGATTTGGAGAACTACAATTTAGTGTCCAGTGAACGTGAAATGGGCTCTGTCAGATCACTGTGGTTCAATCCCAATGGGGAGTGCTTGTTTGCTGGGGTCAGGGACTATCTCAAAGTGGTTGGATGGGAACCCACCAGACTGTATGACTCTGTTTGCATCAATTGGGGGAGGATTAGTGATATTTCAACTGCTCAGAATCAATTGGTAAGTAAATTTAAACAAGTATTTGTAATTATAATAAACTTGATCATTTTGTCTAATATAAATTAACTTCTCAACTTACGACCATTTCGACATACGATGATTCAATAAATCTTAAAAAAAATTGCAATTTAAATAAAAACTATTAATTGTGATTTAGATAAAGTAACTTTCGACTTACAACAATTCGAACTTGCGACGATAAAAAATATAAATACTCATTGAAACTTGAGAAATTACTATTTTATAAATAATTATTTACATAATAAATAAGTTATGGATATAAGAAATATTAGAATAATAAGTTTTATATAACTAGTTGTTATAATAATATTATGAAAATGGAAATTTTGAATGTTAATGTGACAATTTGAAGTAAGGAAAATCGCTTGAATTATTAAAATATAATTAACTTTCCAAGGTTAATCAAATTGCTTGAAACGACAGCAATTAATTAATTATACACTTATTTCCTGTCGTTATGCATTAAAAATAATAGATAATCTATTATAAATTGAAGGAAAATTGCAGAATTTGTCATCTTATATAAGATTCGCGATGAAGGAAAACGTTAAATCGTAGGCGGAAAAATGCAAATTTCCCTCGCTTTTATAATTATCGATGAGGTAACTACTTTTCGAAAAAGGTTTTCCTTCGGAGCGGCGATGCAATCCGGATTGGGGCACGTGCAGAGATGATCGCACGATTTGTTTGTTTGCATGTTGCATTTCGATGCTGTCTGTATATAATCCAAACCGATTCAGTTGAGATTTGTGATATAGAAGTAGCGTTTCGGTATTTTAACGGACGCGCTTCGAAAAATAAATCCTACGGTTAAAAATACGCGGACGCATCTAATTTAGGTAGCGATGAACTTTGATGGGGGGACAAAACGGTTGTAAATCTCGTTTTCGTTCAAACAAAAGGTTTATTTGCATACCCGATCATTTAAATGTGAGGAGAGAAAACAATAATGCCTGTATTTTAAACTTATGACTCAGGGTTTTTTTTTTGTGTTCAGGATTATTGTAATTAAGGAAATAGCCTCATTGTTTTGATATTTTGTTATTTTTGTGAAATCTGTTTAAAGACGGTTTGTTTGGATGTAGTTGAAACGGTGGCACCCAGAGGACTTTCTCTTCAAGAAAATCAAATGTCTGTATTCCCCCATTGGTTCGTTGAATTCGTGATGAACCCACGCGAAGACAAGTGGTGTAAACAGCTGCAAATGAAGATACGCTGAATGTTCTGGATTTATCGGAAATGCACGATAATGGAGACGAGTATCGCCATTAATTTAAGTGGGCTTTAATAGCGTAGTTAAAAAACGTTTCAATTTGTCGGCTTTAATAAAATTTGCTCCTCTGATAACGAAATTACTTTGGACATGATCAATACACTTGACAGAAATTTCATTTAACTTCCAAGAAGTAGACGTTCCAAAGAAAGTTATTGGATTATTAATTATGTCCGTCTGAGTATTATGCAGAAATGAATGCTTTCGATAGAAAACCTGCATCATTCATACAACATTAATTTTCTGAATCCCACACGCGATAATGAATTTTTCATAACATAAAATGCATAGAAAGTTCTTTTTCTTATTTCGGTTGTGAAAACAATGGAGTTTTTGAGTGAACTCGTGTTCTTTCTTCTTTGAATCACATTCGTAAGCTACTCACGCGCTTCTTTAAACCCGCCGAGATTTATTGTATACGTTACATCTTTTATTCACAATTTCCAATTTTCCACATCTTTAATTCATCTTTTTTTCTGAATTATTAGAGAAAACATTGAGAATTGGAATCATTGTAATTTGTGTTTGCTTTTAAATGCATGTTTGTTGGTAAACCAATTATCAACTTCTTCTAACCTTGATAAATAAGAAATAGTTACATTCTACACTTTTATATTGAAATACAAATAAGATTTCGTAAGATTTTAAATTAAGTTTCAAATGTCTATAATTCTTTCTCTTACAATGAATAATGCAAAAAAAAGTAATTATTACACATTTTCTATGCGTTTTATAAAATCACGATATGCGAGAAAGAAGTAAAGTATTCATGGTCTTCTATAATTAAGTTGTATGTACTTTTTTTTTTAGCTCTATTATACAACAATTCAGCATATATCAAATTACTCTCAGTTTTTTTTAAGTTTACGAAGTTTATTCTCATGCAGACAATACATCGTTCGTTCCAATTCGCTAATTACTACAAAATTTTAAAGCGCTATTTAAATAAATTTATGCTGTTTTATGTAATTAGTCAATTTTTGTTCAAATATTTCGTTGCTTAGAACCATAAATTAATTATTAGAAATCGAAGGTCATTTGGAATTTGGAAATATTGAAGCATTTTTTTTGTAAATTGACCTTTAAATTTTATTGTATTAATTATAGATTTCAATAAACAAATATTAATAATGTTAATACAAGTAGAATTTACTTGAAAATTTTTATAGAAAATACTGAAATGATTAAATTTAGGTGAAATGTTGAAAATATTGAAACTGTAAATTGTCGTTAAATATTGTTTTTTGTTGTTACTATTTTAGTAGTGATTTGAAGACTAGTAAGGATATCAACCTGAGTCTTAAACATTCTTTCAGGAAAAGTTAAGAAATTTGTTAGATTTAGATGAGATATTGAAAATACCGAAACTATTTGTAAATTGTTGCTGAAAATTAAAACTATATCTTACAATTTTTTAATGATTCGATGACTAGAGAGAATGTCAATTTGTCTCTTAAACAGTCTTTGAAGGAAAGTATTGGAAATGTTGAAAATACCGAATCCAAGTTTAGTAGTGTTTAGAGAGTTTAAAGAGAATGTCAACTTAACTCTTAAACACTTATAGAAAGTTATTAGATTTAACTGAAATCTTGAAAATACTGAAACTGTTTGTAAATTGTCATTGAAAATAATGACTTTGTATGATACTATTTTAGTAATGATTCTATGACTTAACTTTCAAACACTCAAGAGAAGTATAGAAAATTATTATATTTAGATGAAGTATTGAAAATACCGAAAATATATGTAAATTGATGTGGAAAATAATGTTACTATTGTTGATGACCAGTGATTCTTGATGACTTTTCGAATAATTTAAAGCGAAGTATCAATAAAAATGGTTTGATTCAGGTGAAAATACCGAAACTATTTGTAAATTGTCGCTGAAAATTAAAACTATATCTTACAAGTTTTGTTGTGATTCGATGATTAGAGAGAATATCAACTTATCTCTTAAACAGTCTTTGAAGGAAAGTATTGAAAATGTTGAAAATCCCGAATCCAAGTTTAGTAGTGTTTAGAGAGTTCAAAGAGAATATCAATTTAACTCTTAAACACTTATAGAAAATTATTAGATTTAACTGAAATCTTGAAAATACTGAAAATGTCATTGAAAATAATGACTTTACTATTTTAGTAATGACTTAACTTTCAAACACTCAAGAGAAGTATAGAAAATTATTATATTTAGATGAAGTATTGAAAATACCGAAACCATATGTAAATTGATGTGGAAAATAATGTTACTATTGTTGATGACCAGTGATTCTTCATGACTTTTCAAATAATTTAAAGCGAAGTATCAATAAAAATGGTTCGATTCAGGTGAAATGTTGGAATAACTGTATTACTTTTTGTGCATTGTCGTTGGAAAACAATAGCCCCTTGAATCCGATTATTTCTTTCCTGAATGGGTCCGCGCATTTGTAAACGTATCACGGAGTTTGTGTGAATCGAGATATGAACCGTTTCCCTCTGAAAATTTGTATTTTTGTCTCGTGTCGTGTCCGTCGAGCGTCGCTCGCCATTTCTGGTTCTTCTTCGGTCAAGAAGTGGAAGTCTTCGGAGAACTGGATTCGCCGGCGCCAATTAAAATTAACTCGTTGTCTTACATATGGATACCATTTTGTAGCTCACCCATTAATCGTGTGTGCCAGCAGGAAGGTGAACAAACCCAAACAAAAAACTTAAATCGAGTTTCTCTTCTTTATCGTTTCATTACGTCCGTCTCGTTTGATAATGATTTAAGTAGCGTTTATCGTATTTACTTGGAAAAAAAAAAGTAAATTAAATACAGAAAAACAACGGTTCGGCCCTGCTTTCCATTCGGGGCGAAATGATTCACAAATTATTCATGAAGTTCGGATGAATCGCTCGTTTTTCTGCTACGGGTCGATCAAGGTGAGATCGATTATGTGCTCAATTCTTGTATTTCTATATAAATGTAGACATTTTTTTATTCATCGATTTCTTAATTTTTCATTATTCTAATTTAGTTTTACTCGAGGTCACGGAAGTGATAAGGCGACCAAAGTGTATTGGGAATGTAGGTTGTTGGACAAGCTTTTCCTTTTTTGTTATTTCTTCTTCAGTTAATTACTCAATGTTTGTTTTATTTGTACAAACGCACACGCTTGGAAATGTGGATCAAGCAAATACTTTTTTTTACGTTTCGCACTTCGTTAACAAACAATTAACTTCTGTTATGTACAAATAGATTGCTTATACTTCCTACAAAATCATTAACATTTACATGTACTATAGACCAGCGTTTATCAATCTATGGATTGCGAAATGACAGCTGTCACCTCATGTCAAAACGAGGATATTGTGTAATATATTTGATGGCGAAATGACAGCTGTCATCTTGTGTCAAAACGAGGATATGTGTAATATACTATGTTAGATCGTGAAATGACAGCTGACATCTTGTGTCAATGCGAGGATATTGTGTAATAATACTATGTTTGATTGCGAAATGACAGCTGTCACCTTGTATCAAAACGACGATATTGTGTAATACTACATTTGATCGCCAAATGACAGCTGACACCTTGTGTCAAAACGAGGATATTGTGTAATAATACTATGTTTGATCGCGAAATGACAGCTGACACCTTGTATCAAAGCGAGGAACTTGTGTAATACTCATAGCAGTACAATTACAAACACATTTCAAATATTGTCAAAAAAAGGTGATTTTCAA